CATAAATTCCTTGGAATCAGGGATGGTCATTTTTTATTTATTTATTTATTTATTTATTTTATTTTTTTAGGCAATTGGGGTTAAGTGACTTGCCCAGTGTCACACAGCTAGTAAGTGTGTCAAGTGTATGGTCTGAGGCCAGATTTGAACTCACGTACTCCTGACTTCAGGGCCGGTGCTCTATCTACTGCGCCACCTAGCTGCCTGGTCATTTTTTATGATATATTTGAAATGTCTACTGTAGTTGTACCTAGCAGAGAGTAGCTGCTTAATAAATGCTTGAATAATAAAAATAGCATTTATATAGTGCCCTAAGGTTTGCAAAGCACTTTACAAACATGATCTCATTTGATCCTCACAACAACCCTGTGGGATAGGTTTTACTATTATTATTATTATTATTTCCACTTTACAAATTGAGGAAACAGAGGCAGACAGAGGTTAAGTGACTTGCCCAGTGTCACACAGCTAACAAGTGTCTGAGGTTGGGTTTGAACTTAGGTCTTCCTGACTCCAGGCCTAGTGCTCTCTCTACTATACCACCTAGTTGCCTAGTATTGATTGACTAATTGATTGATTGATAAATAAGGTGGCCAATCACAGATTAGCTCTTTTAGCTTTATTTACAAAAAAGGAAAATGCCTTTTTAGGAGTGTCTGAGAGCCATCATGGTGTGGTAGAGAGGGCACCGAATATGATGCCCCAACTTTGCCCCTTAAAAGCCAAGTGATTATTCGTAAATCACAGCTTCACTGAGTCTCAGTTTTCTAATCTGTAAAATGGGGCTAATAATACTTGTACTACTTACTTCAACTTAGGGTTACTGCAAAGAAAATGCCTTGTAAGTTTTAAAGTTTCAAATAAATACTATTATTATGCTCACTATTTTCTTCTTATCTTTCTAGACTCAGACACCAACTCGTTTGTGAAGCTTTGTCTGTATTTCCCCAAATACCTTGTATTTATTTGATTGTGGACATATTGTATTTCTTCAGCAGAGCATACGCTCCTTGAGAACTGGGACCAGACACCCGGGTTTGAGTCCTTCCTGTTACACATACTGCCGTGTGACCAGAGGGGAGTTAGTTCTCAGCTTTCTTCTCTATGAAATGAGCAGATTGGACATGATAGCTTTAAATCAATCACTAAGCATTTGGAAAATGCCTACTGTGTGCCAGGCATATATTTATGCCAGGACAAATAAAATTATGAGGCAGCCCCTGCCCTCAAGGAGCTTACATTCTATTGGAAGGGGAATAGAGGGATAAGATACAAGGTATTGATAGATAAATAAATAGAAGATGAATGCAAAATAAACAAACACCCGTGCATTTCCATACAGTGTGGGCAGGGCATAGAAAGTACTCTTGAAGGAAGTGGCATTTGAATAAAACTCTGCAGGGAGCTAGGGTTGCAAGAGGCAGAGGTTGGGAGGGAGAACTTTGCATGCTTGGGGACCAGTCTGTGCATAGCAGTCACAAAGGCAGAAGATAAGAGTATTTTATGTGGGGAACAGGAAGTAGGTTGGTTTAGATGGAATCTAGAGTAGGTGGAAGGAAGTAGTATGTATTCAGCCTGGAGAGACAGATGGTGAAGGCTTTTAAATGCTAAAGAGATGTTTGTGTTTTATCCTAAATGTAGTCATCTTGACCTATGCCTTGCCAATGGACTCTGATGAATGTGGAGGAAAGAGTGAGGCTGGCAACTTTGCACAGCCCTGCCTCACTTCAATCCAATTCACTTGTAAGTCAAGACATCACCCTCCTGATACTATTGGTCTCTTCCAGGATGAAGGACAAAACAACAAAGGTAGTGGATGGCTAGAGAATCCTCTGAAGCATGGGAGTGATTGTTCAGTGGTTGCTGGCCCACAACACTCCCAAGTGCAACCTGCATCATATTAAAATGTAATTCCTATCTGATTTTAATGTGTTGATATATTAATTTAAAAAAAGAAATACATAAATATGCATGGTTTCCTAAGTCAATATACAGGTGGCAGGTATCCTCATGTACTATTTAGTGGTTCCCATTTTTATTTGAGTTTTATGTTACTGGTATAGTTAGACCTGCCTTTTAGGAATATCAATTTGGCAGCTATGTGGAGAATAGACTGGATAGGGGAGGAACTAAAGAGAGGAAGACCAGTTAGGAGGCTAGGGAGATAGTCCAGGCAAGAGGTAATTTGGGCCCAAACTAGGGTAAGCGAAGGGGGCATACGTGAGAGAGTTTGTGTCAAAACCTTGGCAAGCACTTAGATATGAGAGGTAAGAGAAAGGGAAGAGTCAGGGCTGATTCGTAGGATGTGAACCTGGATGACTGGAAGACAGGTGGTACCCTTGACCAAAACAGATAAGGAGGCATTGGTTAGGGATTAAAAGGAACTACTTCCATTATGGACATGTTGAATTAGAGATATCTACAAGAGATCACATGACAGAGTGTACTGAATATTGGACTTGGAATGAAGAAAACTGGGGTTTGAGTCCTACCTCAGACACTTACCAGCTGTGTCACCTCAGGCAAGTTCCTTTCATGTCTTTCAGCCTCAGTTTCCACAGCTGTAAAATGAGGGAATTGAACACAAAGGTCTCTCCTAGCTCTAATTTATGAACCTGTGTTCCAGGCAGAGATAGATGGGGGGCAGGGGGATGTCATAGAAAGAATCCTGGATGTGGAGTCAGAGAGCCTGGGTTCAAATCCCAGCACTGCCCCTTACTACTCATATGGCCTTCCATAAGCCTTTTAGCTTTCCAAGGCTTCAACATCTTTATCTGTAAACTAGGGGGTCAGACTACATTTGATCTTCACAATGCTGAGGAAGGAACTTCACGAACTTCAGTTCATATGTGAGTATGTGTGTATGTGTGCATATGTGTGCACATGTCAGAGGTAGAGACAGACAGAGGCAGAGGCAGAGAGACAGAGACAGAGGCAGAGGGAACCTAAGGAAAACTGAGCTGCGGAGATATTCATCGAACTGACCAGAGTTCACAGGAAGTCATTGCTGGATCCAGAAGCAGAACACAAGTTTATTCTAACTGAAAACTTACTTTGCTAGAAAGGATTTGCTTTGGAGTTCTGCTAGCAAGGAACACGAGATAATAGAAAAGATAGTGGTAAACATTTAACCTGGCCATGCCTTTTTCCCTTCTTCTGACTTTGGGACCTGGTCCTCTGAGCTATCAATCAAGTGAGGCAGCTTGATGGACTTGGAGGCAGGAAGAATTGAGTTCAAATCCTGCCTCTGGCAGGGACTCTTGGTAAGTTACATCATCTCTCTTTATTTCAGTTTCCTCATTTGTAAATTAGGTTAGGTAGTACCTACTTTAAAGAGTTGTTGTGATGGTCAAATGAGATAATATTTGTGAAGTGCTCTATAAACCTTAAAGCAACACATACATACCAGCTATTATTATTAATTATTATTATTATTATTATTATTTGTTAAGGCCTGATTTCCTTTTCATTTAAGCTGTCATCGAAGACTAACATACAGGCACTTTGTGCACTCTGGGGTGCAAAAGTCTTATATTAAAGTCCATTTTGCTTTTCTCTGGGAAAATAAAAAAGTAATATTCCCAGCAGATAGTATTAAGATTTTGTGAAGTGCTGGATTAAAGAGCATGCTTATTCACTCATGTATCCTCCCTGAGTGTTTGAGGAGTGTCAGGAGGCTGGGGAGCTTCCCTGGGCCAGGCTTGCACTGAGCACTACATCAGCAGGAGGTGAGGTATGGCTGGGAAAGCTCCAGAGATGCCATTTTCCCCCATCTTCCCAGCACATAGACCCTATTTTTCCACCACTAATTTTGAAGCACTCTCTTAAGTCCCTAATTGTGATTACATCCACAGTTGTAGTCATCAGGCATCCCACTATGATGAACTTTCATTTGGAGAAATTTCCCTTTTGGACTTGTCACCCAGATATTTTCTTATATTTGGCTCATTCCCTTTTATCTCACTATCTTGACTGTTTGCCAAAAAACCACGTTCCAGTTGTGCCAGGGACCTGAAACCTCTGACTGTTAAGGTCCTGACATTTCTGACTCCCGCAGGCCAAGGAGAATTGGGAGGACTCAAATGATATTATCAAGGACACAGCTGTTACTGACCATGTGACACAAATTCTTCATCCCCTAGTCCTATGGTGGTCTCTGTCCCTAAGTCCTCAGGCAACTCTAAACACAGCAAAGAAAGACTTCCCTAGGTATACATAAAATTCTGAGGGGGATTATCACAGACACACAAGGAAAGCTGTCCAGGTGACCAACCCCCTGAAACTTCATTGCTTTACCATAAGAAGATTTCATCAGGCCCTCTTGCTCATTTCTGCAAAGATAATTTATCAACTCTATACACCTAGGCTATGGGGCAGCTAGGTGGCTCGGTGGGTAGAGTGCTGGGCCTGGAGTCAGAAAGATCCGAGTTCAAATCTGGCCTCAGACACTTACTAGCTGTGTGATCCTGAACAAGTCACTTAACTGTATTTACCTCAGTTTCCTCATCAGTAAAATGAGCTAGAGAAGGAAATGGTAAACCACTCCAGTATCTTTACCAAGAAAACCCCAAATGGGGTCACAAAGAGTTGGACCGCCACCTAGGCTATAAAGGCTACTTGAAGAACATTAGCTCAGAAGTATGGGGCATCCCTGTTTCTAAGGACTGCAATCAGCCTTGGACTGAGAAAGAGGCTTAGGCCCTTCTGACGGCTTCAGACTGGAGTTGCTAACTTCCTGCTCTCTGGATCAACTGCCTTGCCTTCCTGTTTGTAGTTAACAGGCCTTGTGTTCTCTCATGTACACTGGTTTATCTGAATTTAACACAAAGAAAAAAAGTTCCTGCACAGTTTAATTGTTTCCATTTGTTAACAAGACCCAAGTTTGACTGATTTCTCCCCACTTTTCTTCTGGTTTTGAAATCACCTAGATGTATCCTAGGAATCACACTCCTCTCCATTAACAACCACCTCTTCCTCTCATTGTTCTGTTTTTAATTTAGTTCCTGCCCTTCTAAGAACAGTCCTCCCAGCACTCCCTCTTAAGAGGCACCTTCCACAGTTTTCTGGACCCTTTGGAATTCCTCGGTGTCATGACCAAAGTAGGATAGAGGTCCAGAGCTATACACAGCACCCTCCATTTGCCATCTGTCTCCTGGTCATCTGAATGGGGTCATCATCATGTTAATCAGTACCAGAGACCCAGTTTCAGCTGAAGATCATATTCCAGGTCAGAAAACAAAAGAGTAATTCAGCGTGGTGAACGGGAACTTGCCAGATTTCCACACAACAGATTTCCTTCTTGGAATCTTTTTCCTTTTTTTAATTTTAATTTTAACTTTTTTATATTTAGAATGTATTCTCAGAGTAACGTATTCAAAGGAAAATGAATAATCACCAGCTCACCCAGCGTCATTAATCCCCAGTAAGTAAGTGCACTCCAGCATGAACGCATTAATTCTCCTTACCCAAGTTTTCAGATTTAAAATAAATGTTTGATGTAATACACACACTACTACTCTGTTTTAATTAAACAACCTCCCACTGTCTACACTGGTAAAGTACTTCATCAATCAATACCACCTTCCATCTTCCAGAAGAAGGCTTTAAAATTTGTCGTACACACGTGGAAACAACCCAAACCGCTCAGTAGTATATTCGTGGCTGCTCCTGGACCTACCCTCAAGTTACAACAAAAATAGCTCCTGCCCTAGCCTTCTAGTTTCCATTTACAGTGCTGACATTAGTGGATGTAGGATGGGGGAGGGTTACCTCTTGTTATTAATATACTCTATTCACTCTAATTAATACTTGATTTCCTGTGCAACGCATACTTTAGCATCATTTACTCGACAGCCTCAAGGCACTTTGCTTATAATACCTAGAGAGATATGGGCTCTGCTTTCAGCTTATGATCTCAATTAAGTGAGAACTGAGCAGGTCACGTCAGCCTAATGAGCTTCATCCATAAAATGTGAGGATTATCCTTAAAGTTTCTCTTAGCTCTAACATTCTATGAGTTTACATGAAAGTGTACTGCCTTTTAAAACTCTTTCTGACAGGGCTGTTGGGAAAATAAAAGCGCAGCTAAGGGGCCCAGAGGATAGATTGCTGGGCCTAGAGTCATCTTCCTGAGTTCAAATCATGTCTCAAGCTGTGTGACACTGGGCAAGTCACTTAACCCTGTTTGCTTCAGTTTCCTCATTTGTAAAATGAGCTGGAGGGGGAAAGGGCAAAACGCTTCAGTATCTTCACCAAGAAAACCCCAAATGACATCACAGAGAATCAGACACAACCGAAAATGACTGAACAACAACAATGGAAGGATAAAAGGAAATTGTGTAGTCTCTGAAAAGCCAAATTCATTGAAAAATAAGTTACTTTTAGAATATGCTTTTACTGCACACTTGTGAGTCTCCATATTAGTTTCCAGGTTTGTTAGAAAAAAAGCATCTGGGTAACTTACCATGGATGAGTAGCTCAGTCTCTCTGATACTCTCTGAAAAATGGGGTATAATCATGCCTATAGTAACCTTCCTGGTAGGACTACAGTGAGATTCCCTATGGGGCATCCTAAAAATTTTAGTGTCATTTTATGTGCTTTAAACTATAGCAGCTTAAAATTGCACTGACTTTTGCTATTTTAAGCTTAAATAGCTTAAGCTGTCACAGCTTACATTGTTTAAAACGGCACTAAGACTTTTGGGGCACCCTATGTATTTACAATGCTCTGTAAACCTTTTAAATGCTACATAAATGTTTTGTCCCTCATTTTTGAATAGGACCAATGACATCACAAGGTGATGTCTTGACTCATGCATGAATTGGATTTATGTAAGGATTTACATGTATAAAGTTGTCAGCCTCACTCTCTCTTCCAGACTCACTGAAGTCCAGTGGCAAGATAAAAGTCAAGATGAGTGATCATGGCCTGGGATGCAGCTGATGACCTCTGCATGTCTGACCAAGCTCCAAGTGCTCTACAATGTTTGCTTCAGCTGCCTTCATGGCCATTGGAACAAATTGTTCTCATGCACCCATTCTAATGGAGGACGTCTTCATACGCTTGGGATAGATACCCCTTTGGGGGGTGCTGGAATGATCCAGGGGGGGCAGTAGTAGCCTTAGGTGCAACTGGGGGCATGAATAAAAATAAGGTGGAAGCATAAGGAAAGAAGAGAAAATAAGAAAATTTTGAAAAACCGCTTGTACACATTTCATCTATTGTGCAGCAGAGTCAAAGTCATAGTGATTGCATTATTTTCCAAATCCTCTGACAGGTCTGAAAAGCAAGTGTTGGCAGGCAAGCATGCCACACATAGTCGGGAAGTCCAGCATACATCAGCAGGAATATGTGCATGTAATAACTTGTTTACAACATGATACTATACAGTTACATGATGCAATATTGCATCATCAAAGTTTCAATGCAGGAAAAACCCCCACAAATTTACAATAAATAAATTTAAGATGTGTCATTTAAAAAAATGTATATTTTTTTGAAACGATGCAACTTTTAAAAAAAAACATTAAAGGGTTAAAGAAAGTGATTTCCAGGGGGGCACTGAGTAATTTTTTTTAATGTACTTTTTTTTTGGTGAGGCAATTGGGGTTAAGTGACTTGCCTAGGGTCACACAGCTAGTAAGTATTATGTGTGTGGGGCAGGATTTGAACTCAGGTCCTCCTGACTCCAGGGCCAGTGCTCTATCCACTGTGCTACCCAGCTGCCCCAAGTAATTTTTTTTTTAAAGACTTCAGTAGGCCAAATAAGTTTCGGAACCTCTGTGTGAAATCCATAGCTTAATGAGAGTTCCCTTTACGATATCCCTGATAAATTGACATCCAGACTCTATTTTAAGGATGGGGAAGATCACTTTTATCTTGGGCAACCGGTTGTACTTTTGGATAGCTCTATTAGTAATTGAAGTTTAGATAAGTGATCTACAAAGTTGGGGCCATGGCAGGAGCCTTAGAGTGATGCAATCAACCAATCAGAGGATGAGAAGACATGTCACAATCCATTATCTCTATAACTATTCCTAGGGTTTCTCTCCAATCATAATCTCCTGCTCCACTGCCTCCCCCAGATGTGCAAACTCCCTGCCCTACTGTGGTCCCTTTCAGGACAGTTATAAACTAACCTCAGCCTTGGCACCTACACCAACTAGTGCACAGGCACCGCTGAAAAATTTTTCACCTTTCCCACCCCCAGCAGTCTAAGTGTGCTGTCAAATGTTTGAAAACCAGCTCTCCCAGAGGGAATATGTGTGATCAACATACTTTTCAGTTTAATTTGCATTATTAACGTTTTCTCTATCACTTTCTCAAGTCTAAACAATCTACATAATAATAAATCAAATGATGTGTAGCATTTGTCATCTCTGACATATAAATGCTCACACTGAAGATTTAACCATCAGCTAGTTCCAGCATACCCCCAGATTACCTTGTGCCTAGAGCAGGCCCTCCTTAGCTGGCTCTGTCTAGTGAATAAGCATTGACCATCCTTCTTTTCATTTTTCATGGGACAGGGTGAATAACATAGGTTAAGTAGGCATGGACGGATTTGGATCTGCATGGTCTACCTCACCACACCATTAGTTCCCTAAAACCCCTATTTCGAATTTCCCTATTTCTGTCAAGGGCACCAGTTCCACAACCTTGATGTCATCCTTAACTCCCCATCCTCTCGCCATATATACCCAATCAGTGTCCAAATCTTGTCATTTCTATCTAAAAACATCACTTATCTCTCCCCTTCTCTCTACTCACCCAGCCACTGCCCTAATTTAGCTCCTCATCACCTATCACCTAGACTATTCCAATGGATTGCTAATTCCTGCCCCTAAATTTTTCTCCACTCGAATCTATCCTCCACACACATGCTAAAATGATTTTCCTAAAGAGCATATCTAACCATGTCACTCCCCTACTCAATAAACATCAGAGGCTCCCTATTGACACTAAGGATCAAATATTATTTTACTATTATCTCATCCTTTTAAAGTTTATATTTGAAATGTTTTTAATATAATCATTAGACTAGTAGTACAAGCATACTTATATAAATAAATACATATGGTGTCCCAAAAGTCTTAGTGCAGCTTTAAGTTATTTTTGAGCATATCCCATGTGTACACACACGTACACACACACACACACAGCATCCCCAAAAGTCTTAGTGCAGCTGTAAGCTATTTGATAGGAAGGAAGAGGTTGGAAGTTTGCACATCTGGGGGAGGCAGTAAAGATGGAGATTGTAGTTGAAATGGAGATAAGCTATATAATAGCTGCACTGAGACTTTTGAGACCGTGTGTGTGGGGTATGTGTGTATGTGTAAATACGTCCATACATACATACATACATACATACATATATATATATATATATATATATATATATATATATATATATATATATATATATATATATATGGATATGCTCAAAAATTATTACTGATAGGGGTGTGAGATCAAAAAGTTTGAAGACTGTTGGTAATAGGAAGTTCACCTAGCCTAATTCTCTTATTTTATTTCTGAAAACAATGAAAGATTTAATTGTGACAAAATTACAAAATAAAACAATAGACAAACCAACCCCAGCACTCATTCCCAAATGATATAACTTTGTCCCTGTTTCCCACTTCCACTTCAGGGGTCCTTAACTTGCAGTCCATGAACTTGGTTTTTAAAATATTTTGATAATTGTATTTCAGTATAATTGATTTTCTTTGTAATCCATTGTCTTACAGATTTAAAATATCTTTCTGAGAAGGGATTCACAGGCTTCACTAGATTGCCCAAGGGGTCCATGATAGACTCCCAAAAGCACTCCTGAAGTAGCCTCTCCTAAAAAAACCCCTGCTTTTCCAAGATAGATGCCAACCCCTCCCCCCATCATTTTACAGAAAGCAAAACTGAAGTTCAGATAAAATGACTTGCCCCAAGTCAGACGGCAAGGTAGTGGGGAAACCTGCCTTTCTAAGCGTCCTGTAGGGATTGTTTCCAGCCAGGTGTGAAATAGACACAGAAGGGAATGATGAAATACATCATCAAACTGTCTGAAAAGAAGGAAGAGGCAAATAAAGAAATCCAGGTGGTGTATATCCCCTATAATAAGAACCATTCATTTTCCAGAAAAAAAAAAGGCCCCAAACCTCTTTCAGGAGGGCTGTCAGGATCTGGTACCAGCTAGTTATGCATTTGGAAAAACTCTCTTTACTACAGACACCTAGCAACTGGGTGGCTACAGGTATATGCCCAAGAGATTGCAATATCATTTATATCAAGATCTTAGGATTTTAGAGCTGGACAAGATACCGGTCTTATCCAATCCCTTTATCTTATGGATAAGTAAACTGAGACTTCAGATTTTCTTCACCCACAAAATTCAGTTACCAAGTTCTATTTTTTCCTTCTTATTGTTTCCTGCACCACCCATTCCCATTACCACCATCCTCAGCTAGGCCTTTATCACTCACCTTTTGCCTGGACAGCTGCTA